CCTGGCACCCTACATTGACTCACTGGCACCCTTCATTGACTCACTGGCACCCTACATTGACTCACTGGCACCATTCATTGACTAACTGGCACCCTACACTGACTCCCTGGCACCCTACACTGACTCCCTGGCACCCTACACTGACTCACTGGCACCCTTCATTGACTCCCTGGCACCCTACACTGACTCCCTGGCACCCTTCATTGACTCCCTGGCACCCTTCATTGACTCACTGGCACCCTTCATTGACTCCCTGGCACCCTACACTGACTCCCTGGCACCCTTCATTGACTCCCTGGCACCCTTCACTGACTCACTGGCACCCTACACTGACTCCCTGGCACCCTTCACTGACTAACTGGCACCCTACACTGACTCCCTGGCACCCTTCATTGACTAACTGGCACCCTACACTGACTCCCTGGCACCCTACACTGACTCCCTGGCACCCTACATTGACTCACTGGCACCCTTCATTGACTCACTGGCACCCTTCATTGACTCACTGGCACCCTACATTGACTCCCTGGCACCCTACATTGACTCACTGGCACCCTTCATTGACTCACTGGCACCCTTCATTGACTCACTGGCACCCTACATTGACTCCCTGGCACCCTACATTCACTCACTGGCACCCTACATTGACTCACTGGCACCCTTCATTGACTCACTGGCACCCTTCATTCACTCACTGGCACCCTTCATTGACTCACTGGCACCCTTCATTCACTCACTGGCACCCTTCATTGACTCACTGGCACCCTTCATTGACTCACTGGCACCCTACACTGACTCCCTGGCACCCTTCATTGACTCACTGGCACCCTTCATTGACTCACTGGCACCCTACATTGACTCACTGGAAACCTTCATTGACTCACTGGCACCCTTCATTGACTCCCAGGCACCCTACATTGACTAACTGGCACCCTTCATTGACTCACTGGCACCCTTCATTGACTAACTGGCACCCTTCATTGACTCCCAGGCACCCTTCATTGACTCACTGGCACCCTACATTGACTAAATGGCACCCTACATTGACTCACTGGCACCCTTCATTGACTAACTGGCACCCTACACTGACTCCCTGGCACCCTTCATTGACTCACTGGCACCCTTCATTGACTCACTGGCACCCTTCATTGACTAACTGGCACCCTACACTGACTCCCTGGCACCCTTCATTGACTCCCTGGCACTCTACATTGACTAACTGGCACCCTTCATTGACTCACTGGCACCCTTCATTGACTCACTGGCACCCTTCATTGACTCACTGGCACCCTTCATTGACTCACTGGCACTCTACATTGACTCACTGGCACCCTTCATTGACTAACTGGCACCCTACACTGACTCCCTGGCACCCTACATTGACTCACTGGCACCCTTCATTGACTCACTGGAACCCTTCATTGACTCACTGGCACTCTACATTGACTCACTGGCACCCTTCATTGACTCCCTGGCACCCTTCATTGACTCACTGGAACCCTTCATTGACTCACTGGCACTCTACATTGACTCACTGGCATCCTTCATTGACTCACTGGCACCCTTCATTGACTCACTGGCACCCTTCATTGACTCACTGGCACCCTTCATTGACTCACTGGCACCCTACATTGACTAACTGGCACCCTTCATTGACTCACTGGCACCCTTCATTGACTCACTGGCACCCTACATTGACTCACTGGCACCCTACATTGACTCCCTGGCACCCTTCATTCACTCACTGGCACCCTTCATTGACTCACTGGCACCCTTCATTGACTCACTGGCACTCTACATTGACTCCCTGGCACCCTTCATTGACTCACTGGCACCCTTCATTGACTCACTGGCTCCCTTCATTGACTCACTGGCACCCTTCATTGACTCACTGGCACCCTTCATTGACTAAATGGCCCTCTACATTGACTCATTGGCACCCTACATTGACTCACTGCCACCCTACATAGACTCACTGCCACCCTTCATTGACTCGCTGGCACCCTACATTGACTCACTGGCACCCTACATTGGTGCCAGTCATGGGCCTTGGATTCACCAGCACCTCACTTTAACTCTCTGGTGCCTCACTTGGATTCTCTGGTGCCACACTTTGATTCATTGGTGCCAGTCATGGGCCTTGAATTCACCAGCACCACACTTTAACTCACTGGCGCCACACTTGGATTCTCTGATGGCACACTTTGATTCATTGGTGCCAGTCGTGGGCCTTGAATTCACCAGCACCACACTTTAACTCTCTGGTGCCACACTTGGATTCTCTGGTGCCACACTTTGATTTATTGGTGCCAGTCGTGGGCCTTGAATTCACCAGCACCACACTTTAACTCTCTGGTGCCACACTTGGATTCTCTGGTGCCACACTTTGATTCATTGGTGCCAGTCATGGGCCTTGAATTCACCAGCACCTCACTTTAACTCACTGGCGCCACACTTGGATTCTCTGGTGCCACACTTGGATTCTCTTGTGCCACACTTGGATTCTCTGGTGCCACACTTTGACTCACTGGTGCCATTCTTTATCTGCCTGGCAAAATAACTAATTCAGCTTTGATATATCAGCATGTCATGCATAAAGTGTAAAATTCACATGTAAAATCAAGCTGTCAATGAAAAGAAAATTGCAAGATTGAAACTTCAAACAGTGTATAATGTAGACCTCAAGGATAGGAATTAATTCTCATTCGATATTGTGTCACGTGGGGTTTATATATAGAAGGAAAACAACTGTAAATCGCATACTATAGTGACACAATGGATACCATACAACTTGACTATTATATTTTGTTTAGCTCTGAAAAACTTTCCCCTGTCTAGACAGTTATATTAGAACTGAACAAACAGCGAAAGTACAGATGTAACGTGGAAAGAAAATTAATATTGTGAGAATCTCATCGGGTTTGATTATATTTATTTATGGGAGGCCAGACAGACTGCTTCAATTTCTGAGTGTATTATTTATGAAAAAATATTTTTAGTGTATCTTGAAAAAGATTTTCTTTGTTTGATTCCAGGTATCTTGATTTCCCTATTGTCTGTAGGTTTTCAACTTAATGTGATAAGTACAGTGGAATCTGTCTAACTGACAGATCTCTGTGAATACTGGTCCAATAGTTTTGGACAAGAGGAAGTTTCAAAATGATTTCCTGAATTCTGACGATTTCATTATTAATGGAATTGTGTTTTGTTGTTTACCTTGATCAAGTTTACGCTCTCCAAGCTGAATGTCAAATTGAACAAATGGCACAGCACATCATCTGTCTGTCACCTTTCATCTTTCAGGGGTTGTCTTTTTGTCTGTCTGCTCTGTATTTGTGATCTGTCCATCTGCCATGTGTTTGTCAGTAACTGGTGTGTCAGTCATCTATCTGTCTGTCTGCTCTGTATTTGTCATCTGTCCATCTGCCATGTGTTTGTCAGTAATCGGTGTGTCAGTCATCTATCTGTCTGTCTGCTCTGTATTTGTGATCTGTCCATCTGCCATGTGTTTGTCAGTAACTGGTGTGTCAGTCATCTATCTGTCTGTCTGCTCTGTATTTGTCATCTGTCCATCTGCCATGTGTTTGTCAGTAATCGGTGTGTCAGTCATCTATCTGTCTGTCTGCTCTGTATTTGTGATCTGTCCATCTGCCATGTGTTTGTCAGTAACTGGTGTGTCAGTCATCTATCTGTCTGTCTGCTCTGTATTTGTGATCTGTCCATCTGCCATGTGTTTGTCAGTAATCGGTGTGTCAGTCATCTATCTGTCTGTCTGCTCTGTATTTGTGATCTGTCCATCTGCCATGTGTTTGTCAGTAATCGGTGTGTCAGTCATCTATCTGTCTGTCTGCTCTGTATTTGTCATCTGTCCATCTGCCATGTGATTGTCAGTTACCAGTCTGTCTGTCATCAGAATTTCTATTATTTCTCTGTCATCTGTCAGTATGTTGTCTGTACATCTAGCATCTATTTTTCTGTCAAGCATTTGTCAGTCATTTGTCTGTCATTCTGTATGTGTGTCAATACACTTTATCTTATGTGTCTGCCTGTCATCTCTCTTTCTGCTATCTATCCATCTTTCCTTGTTCTGTCTATCATCTGGCATGTGTCTTGTCTATCATCAGTCTCTCCAGTCATCTATCTGTCTGTCATTTGTCGGGGTTGTCAGGTAGCCTAATGGTTAAAGCATCATGCCGTAGACCCGGGTTTGATTCCCGACATGGGTACAATGTGTGAGGCCCATTTCTGGTGTCCCTCGGCTTGATATTGCTAGAATATTGCTAAAAGCGGTGTTAAACCATACTCACTCACTCACTGTCATTTGACTGACTGGGCATGTCAATGTTCGTCAAAGCTGATCATCCTGTATGAGACATCACACTTGACACTGGCCACAGAGTTCCTATACAAGAGTCAGCTTGGGGGCACAATCCAATCCTCACACAGAAATATGAGTTAGAACATAACTAGTAAACTGGTAGAATCTTATACATGTGCCACAAGTTACAATGTTACAATCAAAATATTACAATTAATGTGACGCTGACATCCAGCACCTAGCAGACTATTATACGTACACAGTTAACTGATCATAAGTACATTTAAAAGCCTCACAACTTCCAGTTTGCTGGGGAAATACTGGTCAAGTCATCGAAGGTGCTGCCATTCTCTGTGCAAACCCCTTTGGTTAGTGTTTTGAATCCAAGGTTCACCCTGATATTCATTCTTGGTTTGTCAGTGCAATATCCATACTGGGTTTCACTAATGTAATAACTGTCTCAGAATTGCATTAGTTTGGGTTTACCTACCACACTAAGTGAGTGAGTGAGTGAGTACGTGAGTGAGTGAGTGAATGTGACTGTATTGAAGTTACTGATCAATGCAAGCTTGTAGACATGGTTGTGTCACTCAGAATGTACTTTGGGCACTAATAATAAAAAAATGGAACACTAAGAATGGGTTTGTGAGTGTCCTAACCAACATATTTTTGCCTGTTTCAGGGCTGTCTGACTCCTCATCCCCATCCTCCTTCATTGTCTGTGCATGGTGCCAAAAGACTGGAATGAAGCTGTTCACTCTGAAGAGCTCCACAGGCCTGAAGGCATTCTGCAGTGAAATTTGCTTCACACAGTGTCGAAGGGCATCCTTCAAGAAGAATAAAGTATGTGACTGGTGTAAACATGTGAGACATACAGTGAACTATGTGGACTTTCAGGATGGTGACCAGCAGCTTCAGTTCTGCAGCTCCAAGTGTCTCAATCAGTACAAGATGAATATCTTCTGTAGGGAGACTCAGGAACACCTCAAGCAGATGCAGCAGATAGGGGAAGACAGTGAAGACTCCCCCTCACCAACTATACATGACAAACAGATCCTTATTACTCCAGATTTGTGGCTGTCAAAGAAGCAGGATCAAGCTCGGGGCATTAAGCGGGAAGACAAAGGGGATGATGATGGAGAAGTCAGTGTACGAGGGGAGAAGAACAGCACATTGTCCAAGAGTTTTTTGTCTTCAAGAAAGTTTGAGACGTCATCTGGAGCTGATAGATTTGCCAAAGATCGTGAACGCCTTCGTCGTGCGATAAGAGAGTCAAGGGAGGCTGCAAGGTCATGCAGTCCACCCAGAAGTACAAGACAGTCTTCACCTAAAGCTCCTCTACCAGGGGCTTCAGGCTTTCCTCAGTGGATGCCTCCTCCACATTTGATGGGTGGACTTGCTCCAGGAATGGCATCACTGGGTATGTTCAACCCAATGATGTTTGGTGGACTGTTTGGAAACCCATCAGAAAGACCGCCCCTTCTGACACCAGATGCAGGGGGCTCTAGCAAACACAGAGACAGAGATAGATCCCAGAGCACATCTGGGGCCCCCTTGTCCTTGTCTTCACCAGAAACATCACCTTCCTCTACCAGTACAACACCAAACCTCCCTAGGGCCACAAGCTCAGCTGCAGAACCCAACATGAGATCTGTCTCATCACATAACCCAGCTCCACCTCTTGGACCAGGGTTACCAAGAGGAAATTTTGGAGCAGGGTTGTTCCCATTTGGAGGTGCTCCTGGGGCACTACCCCCAATGTTCCCAGGTGATCCAGGTATGGGAAATATGTGTCCTCCCTTCTTTAACCCCATTGGTCCAGGTCAGTTACCCCATCCAGGGATGCCACCACCCCCAGCAGGCAATGGTGTTCCTCCTGTCACAGTTATGGTACCTTTTCCAGTTGTTCTTCCTCTTCCAATACCAATACCTGTACCTCTACCTATCTCAATGGAAAAACTCATGAAATTCTTTGCTGAGAAACAAGCAGAAAGCAATGCCCCCTCTCCTGACACAAAGGTTGGTACAAGTGCAGATGAAGTCCGGGATACTGCCTCCCCTCAGTCCTCCACACCCCTTAGTTCCCGAGTGCACTTCCCCAGAGAGAATACACACAGGAGAGTAACTGTGTCCCGAGACTCTGCTTCTAGTGGTTGTATAGACTGTGCATCTTGCAAACAACCAGTCCGTCAAAGATCTGAATCAGCTGAACCTGCTATCACACAGAGGAAAGATATTAAACCTTCTTTTATGATCGACTCACACATACTGAAACGGTCTCTTACACCTACCACTGCCAGGACGCTTGATCTGACCAAGAGACCAAAACTAGACCTGAAGAGCAATCAAACAGGTGCAATAGATCTGTCAAAAGACAGCTGTGTGTCCTCGGACTCAGAGGTCATGGGCAAAGAAAACCATCGGGTGTTTACGGTCAAGGATCGGCCGCCTTCAGAGTCCTCAAAGACTGATGCTGAGGACTCGGAGGTGGACACTGGACTGAAGGTGCCGAGGATTCACATTGTCTCTACGGCTGGAGAACCACCCCTTGCTTCACAACAGCTCCCGCTTCCGCCGACTGATCATGCGTATTCTCTACGGCGGAGCCTCATTCTAGACGCACCAAATGTCCCCAAGCAGCAGAAGAACACCTACCAAGAACGACCCTATGTTCGGAGTGTTCCAAGGGACATGATAGAGGCGGCACGTAGACGATGTCTACGGGCTCGTGTCCGAACAAAGTGAACTCAATCACTCAGGCCTAATACCGAGGCCCTTGACGCCAAAACGATAAAAAATGTAATAAGTAGATTTTAAATATGATATTTAAGAGTCAAGAGTATTTGTTTTAACTGCATTGTTGTGTTAAATTACTTATATTTATTTTTTCATACCTTTTGGCGTCAAGTACCCATGGCTTCAACTGATACCAACAGTTCCATGCTGCGTATAGGGTGTTACTTTGTTATATTGGTAATCCAATTTTAAAATTACAAAATGTATTAATTTATTATTTGCCAGCATTTAACAAAGTAGTGCTTTACATATATATTTATGTTACACATACATGTTGTGATGTTCCATTCTTGAAATGTCTCGTAACTTTGAAATGTATCTTTGAATTTATTCATGCATTATATATGACTCTAGTCAAAGCTTGTCTGAGCAAGATTAATTTTCTTCCTGTCACATGTGACGAGTATTACTAAACGCACTGAAATTACGCAATAGAGGTTTGAGATCATTTAAGTTTTCTTACAGCTCCAATATATTGATCTGCATTAATGATTTGTATTAAGGCAATAATTTCAAAAGATGGCGTGCAGAACTGACTGATGTATGTCTGGGGGCAGACAGGATTCAGTACACAACGGAGTCTGTATTAGATGCATCTATACAGTTTTCCTTGGTAGACAGTAAACAGCTGTGTCCTAAATCATCCCCCGTGCCTCATAAATCCACAAAGACGGATTGAAACTTTTTTTTCTGTTTGATTTTAGTTTAGTGATAAGTTTTATATTGTTTTCTTTCATGTTTTGGTGCGTCAATATGCAGTGATTGTTTGAACACGCAATGGTATATTTGGTTCGTTATTTGTTTCTCTATAAGTTTTGCGTAGGTTTGGTTTCACATTGTGTATGCTTCCGGTTACGCCGGATGTGACTTCTGTGATGAGCACGCAGCTCACAATCCCAGGGTGACCGGAAGATTGCTTTGGCCCTTTGGTCAGTACCTATGTAGTAAGTGATGTTACCAACTGTACAAGATAACTTTATAACAAACCGGTTTCCTCACTCTTCGGCGTTTATGCATTTGCTACGGCTAAATGTGTTGTGCTACTGTGAAGAACCTGGTTCAGTTTTATCCTTTTTAGCCAGATCCAAACTTAGACAAGGGGTTATGTAAAGACATGATTGAGTTCGTGTTTTGAAAATTTGAATTTATCAAGACACGAATATCGTTTTCATCTATTCCGAGTACATAAAGACGCGTATAACAATTTCAAAGAAGTATATTTTTAGAAGATATATATTTACATAACGAAACAGAGACTGAGTGTAGTCTAGGCATGCAGAACGGCTGGTTAGTAATGTTTCAGAAATGTGGTTGTGGTCTCTTTTCAACACTCAGCTGTCTCCACATGATTAAGTGAAAACTCCCGTTAATTCGAACGTCAGTAACACAATAAACCGTTTAAGTCGATATGTAACGTTAGGGTCTCTTATGGAACGGCTAATAAGACGTACCAATTCTCAAAGTGAAAACTCCCGTTAATTCGAACGTCAGTAACACAATAAACCGTTTAAATCGATATGTAACGTTAGGGTCTCTTATGGAACGGCTAATAAGACGTAACAATTCTCAAAGTGACAACTCCCGTTAATTCGAACGTCAGTAACACAATAAACCGTTTAAATCGATATTTAACGTTAGGGTCTCTTATGGAACGGCTAATAAGAGGTAACAATTCTTAAAGTGAAAAATCCCGTTCATTCGAACGTCAGTAACAAAATAAACCGTTTAAGTCGATATGTAACGTTACAGTCTCTTATCGAACTACTAATAATACGACCTAGGTTATTCTGTCCCCAGGACCAAAAGTTGACGAGATTTCACCGTATGCAAGGCTTAAATATCGAGCGTAATTCACACCTACTGTTCTTGGCCAGAAACATCCTACAGGTCTACACGAATAACTTTCTACATAGCAGCAGCCGCAACTACGAGAGCGTTTATTCCAATTTGGAGCAACGGTTTTAATAGGGTTTGAGATGAATGATCATGGTTACACACCCTCGTCATTAATCTTTGAAATACAGTCACCATCGTTCATATTTGCAATTCAAACAATTTCCTCTTTTATCAAATAACGCCCGTATATTTCAGAATTACAAAACAAACAGGGGTGGTCGCATTAGTCAGTTTTCTAATGTCAAATAGTGCAGGGAGGTAATGTTACATTGCAAAGCGCGCGTCCTACGGTATAATTGGAACAAATTGACCTACAAGAGGAGAGCTTTAATAATGAGCCGTTGAGACGATTGGGTCTTGTCCTTATGATAACATCAGACAGTCGCCTCGCAGGGAATATCCGATTTCATTGAAAAAGGTTAAAGGCTACCGGTGATAGCCATTTTTATGTACTTTGTTTCACCTATCTAAATACTCCCTGGAACCGCTGTAACCTAAGACCCTTCCATATTGGAAACCGGATCTCTTAACCGGACCAGCTCTGATCCAAGTGCTTTATAACCCGACAACGTCCGGTTCAGGTGGTGTTCTGTCTGTGGGAGGCACGGATTAAAATGTTGAGGGTGGGGATGGGTGGTTGTGTGGGGTTTCTATCCATTTAAAAGTAATATGAACGTATTAAGTATTTATACAGTTTCAAGCTTGTCTGTGTGTAATTCAAATACCTTAGCTTGGATAGTTGTATTTTGTATTCGTATGGCAGCTATTTTAATGATAGGTCTGATTAAAATTTCAAGGAAACGTGAGGTGTGTAGAATATTGAGCAAGCAATACTCAATCAGCATGTCGTTTTACAATAATAATGGTGATACAATATTGGGCTAGACATTTTATTGTCCTGGCGTTTAGGTCTGTGTTCGTTCAAAACAAATTGCCAGCTGACTTTGGGTGGAACCAAGACTGCTATTTCAATGGTTTACATCCACATTCTCAAACTACCGGGTACCCATTCACCAACGGGTGAAAAGACGCCGAATCTAACGAGTTTACTTGTCAATAAGTCACACACGTCCTTCAACCTGTGTGAATTATTGATACATGTTCAGATCAAACTTGTTTCGCCCAAACTGATGATATGCAGTAGAATTTGCAAAGCTGCTGATGCAGCTAAGAGCAATATATCTTTATTCTCGAGCCCGAATACTGGTTATCTAGAAAGTATTGCTCCCTTAACTTCGACCTAGTAGGAGTTCTGTAGTAACATCTGCTCACCTTGCTGTGGGTAGCAAGATCTCGTGAGATCTCTCTCGGTTCTATATGTGATATATATGTGATATACGCTTACCTAAGTACAGTTACAATGCTTTTTTTTTCAATCTTGATACTTTCAGCTAGGCTATCGCAGAAGGATATAGTATGCGGAGTCATTTGACATTTAGCTGACATCATATAAAACGTGTGATGAATGATGTTTAGGCAAATTATATAAAAAGTAATGTCCTCTGCAAACTTTCCTCGTGTTATGTGGCAGATCCTAAGACACTAAAATGGCGTTGTCATGGATCTCTTTACTTCGACCCTTCATTGTGAGAAACGCCACGAGTTAAAAATACAAAATCACATTTAAACATGTATCTTTTAAATGTCTTTGTTACTTTGCACTTTGATGATTAACATTCTAAAAACATACGTCGAATTACTATGAAATAAATCCCGATGTATCAATAATACGCGCGTTTATAACCTTTCCTGCATACTTTTCATTTACAAAGAAGAAAACTAATGTAGCTGAGGGGTGATAATTGAGCTCTTATGACTTTTAGGAGAATCTTGCAAATGAATCTTATTAGCCTTGAGTCAAGCAGAATTTGATCGAGTTATAAAGTTCCTGTCTAAGCCAGATTGACTTGCCTGTCTCGACATATTTTCTGCTCACTTGGTAGCGTCTGCAAGAGTCCAATACTGCGGTGTTATATGTCGAAGTCACCTGCATCAAATTCAACACAGACGTCAACGCTTCAATGTACAGTAGTAGGAAGATTGTCTGTAGATAGTATTCAATGCTGAAAAGTGAGATATCGAATCAGACTGTGTTTTTAGTGACTATTGTATTATGTTCTTATATTTTTATTTTTATTGAACGATCTGAAAACCTCTTCAATGCACATTCATCTTTCCGCATTCTCCCAGATACTGTGAAAAATTAACACTCCTTCAATCGCGTCCGCAGAGCAATTCTTTTGCACTACCTCCGAGATCCTGAGGACGCTTGGTTGTGTCTTAATTGCCAAAAAAGTAAAAAACGCTCCGCGACCGCAACGCGAAAGTGTCGCATTCCGGTCGCAAAAATGTTTGAAAAGTTTCTCTACCCTGACTTTGCAAAAGGTGCGTCTCCTTTTAAACACGCAGTACGATACCAGAGAATGTGTGACACTTTTATGTAATATATTACATTAAGGGACACGGTTGGACCAGTCGCCTAAAGCGCCGCAATTCGCTGTGGAGAGGTGCGTCGCTTGGACACGCCACAATCCTATGATTGTGGGTTCCAATCCCGGTTCGCCCCGATTATGTTTCTAGGTTTGTCAGCACCATACCCGTGCACGTGGGTTTCATCAAAGTGATAAATGTCTGAGAACTTCATCACTTACTGTTTTGTCCCACATTAAGCTGACACGCCGTGATATTACTGATAGGAGAAGGGGTGTTTAACCAAACTCACTCACTCACTCACTCGGTATATGACATTGCTGTTGCTCTGTATCCACTCTGCAGTCTGATCACGCTTACAGTGGTAATGAAACCCACGTTACACATTAAAATGAAAAGGACAGGCAGTTTTTCATACACTGTATTCGAGGGATATGATGTATATCTGACACGAACAAAGCCTAACTCACCTACATAGCATGACATCGTCTGGTCCAGACTTCATTGTTTACAGACCGCCGTCATATAGCTGGGATATTGCTGAGTCCGGTGTTAAACAACAAACAAATAAACAAACAAAGCATGACTTGGCAAATCTTGTTCATGATATTATGTTCTTCATGTCAAATCGGATAACATGTTTTATATCTACGGTCGAGGGCGTTGCACTTTGCTATGTAGAGTTGCGTCCCTTAGCCATGTCATGATCCACTGGTGGTCGGTTCGAATCAAAGAACCGTCCTGATCATTGGTCTGTCAACCTTGGTCTGTCACCCTTGAGGTGAGTGTCATCAAACCGGTAGAAGCCTACGACCTATATGTCACTTTGGGCTTGCCTTCCACAATGAGCTGACGCAGTAGCATAACTGAAATATTGTTCAAAGCGGCGTTAAACTTAACCCACTTACTCACTCACTTCAGATGGGGCGTGTGTGTTGCATCCTTGCATCTTTGCATCTTTGGCGATGCACCAGCCCCCTAGCTTCACTTGGCAGTTGTTATGTACGAAGTCTTTGTTGATATGTATATTATGATTATAATTATTATTATTATATTATTATCTACTATATATGATGTTAAGCGCGTGTATATATACATTTGTTATTATCTACTGGCTTTAAAACAGGGCCAGCAAATATAGGACATTTGGGGTGGACTATAGTCTCGTACAACGCTGTGTTAATTGTTGCGAAGAGGTAACAGACACTGAATATGGAACATGCCTTCAGTAAGAGAGCTTCTTGTTATCTACAGTAAACTACGGTTATAACGAACACGCTTATAACGAACTGACCGATATAGCGAACTTATTTTTTAGTCCCGGCCATTTGTTGTATATATGCTGCATATATGCTTATAACGAACTACGGTTATAACGAACTAAAATTAGTAGTCCCTTTGAGTTCGTTATAACCGTAGTTTACTGTATATGCGTTGCCAAGTATGTCAAGATGTACAACAAAATGGTTCAAAGCTGACAGAAATGATATCAATATAAACATGGGAACCAAGTTATTCAGGCTACCAATTTGAACATTTCATTGTTTATATCATTATTCTTTCTTCTCTTCCTAAAAGGGTTCCAAATTAAATGGTAAAGCAGAACTACCAACACTTTTTGTGTGAATAATATATATTTCCAATAGTCATGATAATTGATTTTTGTGATAGTTGGCAACGAATTTATGAGGAATATTAATCTCTGAAATAATTCATTACTAAATAATAAACGACAAACACCCCGCTCTGAATGAATATTGCATATTCCCTTTCGATAAGCTGGCAGCATAGTTAGCTCAAAATAGAACAAAATTTTGAGTACGTAAAATAGTGACGCCATGATCTGATGCATACGTTTCGACTATCGTTGCATCTTAAATATTCTTAAGATGGTCTTAGAACTTACAACTCAAGTCATATACGTGAATAGGTCCTCTTCTGAACTCACATCTGAAAAAAAACTAATGTAACTGAGAAAAGTGTAAGCCTCCGTTACAGTAATGGAGATACGGTAGTCCCAGTTGCAACGTCTCAGTCCGTATACATGTACTAGGTTCTGTTAAAGCGTATGGACCTACTAACGTTGAACGATTGTAGTGGTAAGATTATTATAAGGTTAAAGTATAGGCGGTTAAGGAGTGCTGAGATCGCTTTGACCAAGTGGGACGTGGACTATATTTCCCCCGATGTCCTGTAACTCAGTGGCTCGTCTGGTGTATATATCTGTGTGATGACTGAGTGTCATTGTTGTACTACACGGTTGTTGCAATAAGTTAAGACGTGTTATGCACGAGCATGCGGTATATGTTTTTATTTGGACTGCGTTAGCCTTCGCAGTTGTCTGTAAATTTGATTGTGAGCTTTACACATCACGAGCTATGAAATAAAGTGATGCCAAATTTATATCTGATTTTGGTTATATTTCCAATTCCGACAGAAATTCAGACACGTGACCTGTACGCCCCGAGGAGACAAACATGAGGTACTGGCCACCTCCTATGCCCTGTACTCTGTGAGGAGAAAACATGAGGTACTACACACCTCCTATGTCCTGAATTCCCTGGGAGACAGTCATGAGGTCCTGGACACTTCCTATATCCTGTACGCCCCGAGGAGACAAACATGGGGTAGTGGCCACCTCCTATGCCCTGTACTCTGTGAGGAGAAAACATGAGGTACTACACACCTCCTATGTCCGGAATTCCCTGGGAGACAGTCATGAGGTCCTGGACACTTCCTATGTCCTGTACGCCCCGAGGAGACAAACATGGGGTACTGGCCACCTCCTATGCCCTGTACTCTGTGAGGAGAAAACATGAGGTACTACACACCTCCTATGTCCTGAATTCCTTGGGAGACAGTCATGAGGTCCTGGACACTTCCTATGTCCTGTACGCCCCGAGGAGACAAACATGGGGTACTGGGCACCTCCTATGCCCTGTACTCTGTGAGGAGAAAACATGAGGTACTACACACCTCCTATGTCCTGAATTTCCTGGGAGACAGTCATGAAGTCCTGGACACTTCCTATGTCCTGTGCGCCCCGAGGAGACAAACATGAGGTACTGGCCACCTCCTATGTCCTGAATACCTCTTGGAGACAAACATGGGGTGCTGGAGACCTACTCTGTCCTAAATCCGCCTTGGAGACAAGGATAAGGTCCTGGAGACCTACTCTTTCTGAATCCCCCTTTGAGACAAGGATAAGGTGCTGGAGACCTACTCTGTCCTGAATCCCCCTTGGAGACAAGGATAAGCTGCTGGAGACCTGCTCTGCCCTGAATCCCCCATGGAGACAAGGATAAGCTGCTGGAGACCTACTCTGCCCTGAATCCCCCTTGGAGACAAGGTTAAGGTCATGGAGACCTACTCTGCCCTGAATCCCCCTTGGAGACAAGGATAAGGTCCTGGAGACCTACTCTGTCCTGAATCCCCCTTGGAGACAAGGATAAGCTGCTGGAGACCTGCTCTGCCCTGAATCCCCCATGGAGACAAGGATAAGCTGCTGGAGACCTGCTCTGCCCTGAATCCCCCTTGGAGACAAGGATAAGCTGCTGGAGACCTGCTCTGCCCTGAATCCCCCTTGGAGACAAGGATAAGCTGCTGGAGACCTACTCTGTCCTGAATCCCCCTTGGAGACAAGGATAAGGTCCTGGACACCTACTCTGCCCTGAATCCCCCTTGGAGACAAGGATAAGCTGCTGGAGACCTACTCTGCCCTGAATACCCCTTGGAGACAAGGATAAGCTGCTGGAGACCTACTCTGCCCTGAATACCCCTTGGAGACAAGGATAAGGTGCTGGAGACCTACTCTGTCCTGAATCCCCCTTGGAGACAAGGATAAGGTGCTGGAGACCTACTCTGTCCTGAATCCCCCTTGGAGACAAGGATAAGCTGCTGGAGACCTACTCTGTCCTGAATCCCCCTTGGAGACAAGGATAAGGTCCTGGACACCTACTCTGCCCTGAATCCCCCCTGGAGACAAGGATAAGCTGCTGGAGACCTACTCTGCCCTGAATACCCCTTGGAGACAAGGATAAGGTGCTGGAGACCTACTCTGTCCTGAATCCCCCTTGGAGACAAGGATAAGGTCCTGGAGACCTACTCTGCCCTGAATCCCCCTTGGAGACAAGGATAAGGTGCTGGAGACCTACTCTGCCCTGAATACCCCTTGGAGACAAGGATAAGCTGCTGGAGACCTACTCTGTCCTGAATCCCCCTTGGAGACAGGGATAAGGTGCTGGAGACCTACTCTGCCCCGAATACCCTGGGAGACAGACAGGGGGTGCTAGATACCTCCTATATCCTGAGTATCCCCGGGGAGACAGGCTTGAGAGGCTGGAGACCTACTGTGGCCGGGGCTGGGGACCTGGAGACCTGGTACTTTTAGCCTGCTACATGCATTGAGACAAGCATCAGATAGTTTAAAATAACTGCACAACCAAGCCCGTGTTACCATGTTACCTTGACTTTACTTTGATGACAATATTTATTAGACGTGAGAAGTACCGATATCCACGTCAGTACAATTAAGGAATGTATATCAACCATATGAATATAAGTTGTCACTGCAAGAGAATAACCAGTCTAGATTATCCACCGAAACAGATTCCATTTGGCGTGAAGAGCAAAACAGCTGTGAGAATTATTTTAGTGGACTACTGAAAATCAGTGACGACACCGGGGGTTCGCGAAAAGGATTCGCGTAAGGGTACGCTACTGTGCACCCAAATAATAAACACGAAAAAGATGCCCTTGTGAAAACAATGCTGTTTATGCATAGATTATAGAAAACTGACAGTTTGAATACTTTGTATACAAGAAAACCATTAAAGTGTATTGCCAATTATAAACAATTTGAATGAAATAATTATCAAGAAAGTTCTATGGATGAACAACTTCTTTATTACAATTAATGCGACGTTTCGGCGTAGATCCTCACACCTTTATCAAGCAAGTGATGGATAGTACTTACTTACTTACTTACTTACTTACTTACTTACTTACTTACTTTGGAGATTTAACGTGCGCTTTCCGACTGATGCGTATTTCGCACACGGGCCCGGCCAGGGCATTTAATGTGTTTCCGAAAGGGGCGAAGGTGGTCTGTGCAACCCAAGAGGGGGGTTTTAGGGGTTGCTTATATAGAATTTGGGAATTTTGAGATTTGGAATAGATGCCGATGGGATTGGGGAGGAGAACTAAGGGAGCTGGGTATGGTGGATGTTTGTTTGTTTATGTGATTTTGATTTGGTAGGTTATTGTGTTTTTAGATGCGTTTTATTAGTTCCGTTTTTATTAAGAATACGCCTAAGGCCTTGAAGTTTTCTAGTTTATTTTGTGGGTTTAGTATTGCTTCTAGAGTTAGAGCCTTGTTTAGATTGAGGGTGGTTTGTAATGCGGTTCGATGTGTTAGAATAGTGCTGAACAACATAGGTATATATACTTATTAACATCGATGTTTATACAGTAAATTGATTGATGGACTCAGAGAGCTGGTTAAGATGATTGGAAGCCAGTGAATGACTAATGGGACAGGGTTACAACCACGGAAGCTGATAGGGATGATTGGAAGCCAGTGAATTGTCTAATGGACACAGAGTAATAAGTATATAAACCTATGTTGTTCAGCACTATCCATCACTTGCTTGATAAAGGTGTTAGGACCTACACCGAAACGTCGCACTAATTGTAATAAGGAAGTTGTTCATCCATAGAACTTGTCTTTCTTCATCACACCAACTTCTAAATGCCAATGAAAGAAGAAATAAGTATCCCTGTGCAAACTGATGCTTTTATTTTGAGTTAATAAGGTCACAAAAGCAAAATCACTGACACAGTTCACTTCAGCGACATTCCTGGCAACTGAATATATACATGAGAAGTCCATTAATACAGATCCCGGCCACAGGAACGTCTGAAGCAGCACGGCAGTCACGACCACACCTACACCGGCAGCTACAGAGAAGGGTAATGACATCAAAACATGGAAAATGGATACTGGTTATGCTGCATATTTACATAGGGAGTCGTGTCAAGATGACATTTGTAACTTCCGAGGCACATTTACATTTCCCCTTGCATGTACGTGTCTGTCCCAGCTGTGGAATAATCTGTGTGAACCGATCTGAAAATAGCTGGAAATTCGAACCATGAGGTATGGGTTTGTATGATAAGATCAAGCAAAACCCCTATGTCCGTGTGTCTAGGACGTCAGTTTAAATATCACGGAATATTGATGGGCGACTCTTCGGTTGAAATGCTTAGATCTTATTACAGCATGGCAATTCTACTGTAAGTGAATATCGTATTGTAAGGTTGGGCGGCTTGAGATTGTATTTCAAAAAGTGGGCACTCCAAACTACTTTGACGAGTGCATGGTCGTATCGTAATTGCGTAAAGCTGCTATCTTTGCACGAAGCCCAGCGTCATATTGCAAGGTTTAAATATTCTTCCCTTCATATCAAAGTCTTTTCATGGATTGAGTTACAGTCTGAAGACATGGAATTAAGCACGACCTTTGCAACAATTTGTAGATTGCATGTTTCGTTTAAGACAGTGTCCTGTCTTATGATAACATCAGTAATGGAGACGTGACAGGTTTCAGGTATTGATGGTATCCATCAAGAACTGGAACAGTTAACGGGCGTTTTAGTTTGCTTTGAACGGCAATAAGGAAAACGTAAAAGTTCCTCTTCTCAAACAGGTTTTAAGAAAGCTGTAAATTAAGTTAAACCTTGACACGTGAGTGCATACAGGGTAGGATATAACTCGCAAATAACAGCAAATGCATTAAGGTAATGCTATAGCTCTTCTTGTTGTGGTTCCAGGTTATTGCAGGGTTGGTTTCTGAATAAACTAGGTTACAGAGTACGAGTTTGAATCGCCAGTATCGGATATAGAGAAAATCGACTTTAGTGAAAGCAATTCTAACCCATCTTAACAGTCAGTATAAGCTATTGAACATATTTGTTGCAAATTTCTGTTATTATGCAATGGTTGTGAATGATCTATGAATAGACGACAATCTTTATTTTGAAATATGTAGATAAAGTATAAAATTAATGATTAACAATCGTTTGTTCAAAAGAGTATTGCTCAAATGCTCATCTGGTCATCTCATCGTTCTCTGGACGAGTACGTCTTTTAGAAAGGGTGGGGTGGGGTGGCTATTTTAGTAAATATCTTGATATGGCTCTGTTTGACTTCCAATATTAAGATCATTATACTTCTTTACTTCTGTTCAGAAAAAAAATCAGGGCGATTGTCTGGCTCTCGAACTCACGTTCGCAGTTTCCTGGCACGCCCAAGGGACACAACTCCGCGAGGCGAATTGTGGCACCAGTGTCTGCACCAGCTCCTTGTGGTACAACAGTAAGTTTATCAAGTGGTTTGGTACGATC